TTTCCTTTGCCTGATCTCCACCCTGGCTGAAGCTATGGCATTTTGGTAGAGCTCTGCAACACCAGAGAGAATAAACTCAATCTCTCCTCTCCAGTCAACTTTTGCATTTGGAGTACTCATAACCTTTTTTCTTTTTATGAATCCCAATACAGTTTCTTTCAAATACTATTGATTAACTGTGGCAAAAGCTGCCATGTATGTTTCCTATATGATTTTTGGGTGTGTCTCTCCAATACACTCTCAGTTCCTAGAGAACATGGATCACATCCCTTTATCCTTGAATACTCACCAGCTATCATACAGCCTGAAATGGAAGGCAAAACTTGGTTAGTTTAACAAATACGTTTGCATTATAAAATTCAGAATATTTTTAATAAAAGATTTCTTAAAAGTGTTACAACCAAGATGAAATGATATAAGCAAGCCAGTTGAATCAGCTGAACCTTTTTATTTCTTGCTTTTACCTTATTCTTTCCTTAGATGTTTTTCTTGTTTGTTTGTTTTGTTTCTGTTTAGTTTTCATTTTTTAGCTTTGTTTGTCCCTGGATAGTCTAGTCTACTGCATTTGTTAATGAAGTTATCACAACTGAAACTAATTGAATGCATTACATTGTACTAAGTGAGTTCTGTGAAGGTAGCTCATAGTTTTTTAAACTTTAATACTCATAAATACGCACACAGTTTTCTGTAAATTCTTTTATTGATCCTTTAATATTCGTTATTTCTTGAGTTCAGCAAAGATGAATCACTGAATATGTAGATGTTTACATACAATAAACTATTACACTACCTTTAACCCTTTGCACTCGGATGTTGAGTGTGGATAATGTCGAGTGGATAATGAGAAAAAAGCAAGTAAGTGCAAAGGGTTAAAATATTATTGAATGCCATATAACTGAGGGCCAAAATTAGATCAAAACATTTCAATTAATTCCACATAAGTTCCCCCTAAAATATATTAGTGATTTGATATATCTGACATGCTGAAGAGAATGAATAGAAAATATTCATGATGTACCTGCTGAGAAAGGAGAGGCTATAAAGAAATTGATTGACTAATGACTGCCTGTAGTTCTCTCAAAACAACTTAGATTAAAATTATATGTTCATATTATTCCTGACTTTATATGCCAAATAGCAAACATTTTGAGAATATAGATGAGATAGTTGTATTTAAATAATAATGGATGCAAAAAGTCCTGAATTGTACTTTTATTATTACAAAATATAAAACTATTTTAATGCCGGGTGAAAAAGAAGCATTTTCAAAATATTCCCTTTATCCTCTCTTATGATACTTTACTCCTATATAAGTTGTATCAAACTGACTATAAAAAATTGCTATTTTGTAAATTAAAAAGTCAATTATTGGTAATTTCATACAGTTCAAACTGAATATATATTTGTACTCTGAAACTTATGACCCCCCAAATGTAACTACTTAACCTATTTTTCTGTATTATCTACCTTAATTACACAAAATACACATTAGAGGTTACTTTTTATTTTCCCCAGAAATGCAAGATTAGATCCAAGGAAGGTTTATAAAAGTATAGTTATGATACAGAAACTGTTAATTGCCCTGAGAATAACCAATATTCCCTTCTATGTACATGTACTGAAGTTTAAGAAAAAATATTTAATCATTTTTCTCTATGCTCCAAGCTATGAACCCATTGAGAGGTAGATAAAAGAGTCATAATAATCAAAGTATCAAGTTTATTCATACTAAAGGTGAATTGGAAACCAGTTTTTAAAAGTGTCAAAATGTCCTTCCTACTTCCCTTCCTTTGCCCTCACAACTGAAATTACTCACAGAGTGGCAGATAATGCTTTCCCCATATGGATAGGGTCTGTCTGGGTGAAGAAGAGACATGAGAAAGAGATGTGAACCTGTGAAGCAGGCAGTTTGATTACCTAGAAAGGAAAGTAGGAAAGAAAGGAAAGATGTTGGTGCTTCGTGACCCTTTCCCTCACATAAACAATCAGAAAAAGATTCTTTCTTCTGTGGAGAGAGAAAAGTGAAATGTGGAGAGAATTACTAGAAGTTTTCCATGAAAACCATTTCCTTCAGGGAAAGAGTAGATGATACCCTTCCATAGTGACACTGTAAGAGTGAGTAAAAAAAAAAAAAATCTTCCTAAATTGTATGAAAAATAATTCCTATTTGTGAAAGATAGTGGACTCCATACAATTAAAGATAGTATGGGAAATGAAGACTAGATAACCTTCAATAATGTAGATAGCTAGATAGATAAATAGAAATGTAGGAATATATAAATGTTTACTGAAGAGAAATTCTAATGAAATAAATCTTTCAATTAAAGTGTATTTTCCCTATAGTCTATATAAATTGACTTTAAATTAGAATATACATATATTTCAATTATATACATATATCCTTATATAACATTAATATATACATATACTATATGCATATATATTCATACATATATAATTGAAAATAATATTTGCATCATCATATCCCAAAACAACCAAATGCCATGGGCATGTGCTTAGAATTAGATGAATCACCATGTGCATGAAAAGCATAACTACTCAATTCATTTATTTATAAATTCTTATATTTGCTCAACTGATATTTAGAGAACATCTATTATGTGTAACAAATAATAATGGATAATGTGCCTAGTTTTGTAGAAGTTATAGAAATGAATAAGACATAACCCATACTCTCAAAATTCTTACAATTAAGTAGGGGAAACATGACACAAGAAAAAGTGATTCTCAAAAAATTCTCATTCTCGAGAGTTCTATGACAGAAACGCAGAGTACCACAGTATTTCTGGTAGGGATAGACTGCTATAAATTAATCAGAAAGAGCTGCATGAAGGGGCAAAGTACCCAGAAAGGTCTATAAAATTACAACACACCCAAAGGTAAGAGTTGGGCATTAGAAGAGAAGTTAAAAATATGAATAAAATTACAGAGACTACTTACAGAATGGCTTATTTTAGATAAAGTGTTTAGTTAGTTGTTTGTTTTTTGTTTTTTTTCCTCCAGAATAGGTGAACATGTTTTTTCAGGGACTAACTTCAACAATGCTCAAGGAAGGTTACCCATTGGTGGCACTTGAACCTTACAGTGAGACCTAGAGAAACGAAGTTTGGTAGGTTGTTCTTGCAATTTTTCAGATGTTACAGAAATCACAAGTTATGCATATTTATTTTTATTTTCCCCTTAATACTAAAAAAATATCATTTGGACCTAAGGTTATGTTCAGATAATGTCTTCTTCTAGAAAGGAGACTATATTTCCCAGATGGCTTTGTTGATGGATGTGACCATGTGACTAAGCTCAGTCATCAGTATGAAAGCAGAGATACTTGTGTCTAACTAATGAGAAGTTAAGACTCTTTAAGTGGTCTTAAAGGAGAGGACTGCACCCTTTTGCATCTCTGCTATTTTATGGTTTGGGATATAAGCCTTAAAACTAGCACTTGGAAAGTGGTGTTGGGCCATTAAGATGCAAATATGTGTAGAGCAAGGCAGAAAAATAAGAGATATGTTCATGTATCACTGACACCATGTGTCATCTTATCAGTCCTGTACTACCTAACTTGCTTTAACTACAGCCACTGAGGGTTTTCTGTCTAAGAAGGCAAACACAATATAAAGTGGCATACCAGTTATATCAGACACATTAACCAAAGTTCTTAACTGCAAATAAGAAAATGTGTGCACAGGTCTTTATACATTGGCTCTTCTTTTTCTATGCCTACTACCGCTTTTAGTTATCACACAGAAATTACATAAAAGGCATTACAAGAAATTAAAGACATTGAAATCATCCTAGTTATACTTTGCTTATGTCTTTTTGAAGTACAACTTGGTCAACGTGGTTAATACTAATATTAGAAGGATAAGAGATGCCCTAGCCTTAATTTAGAGACTTAGGGAATACTCTACAAACTATGTTTAGAGTAAGTGACTGATACTTCAGCAATTATTCTTGTATTTATCATCAATTTTCATTTCCTTCTCAATAAAAAAGGTAAACATTTGGGATTTCTTAAAATCTAGTATCTGGAAGTGCCTCTAATTTGGATATTTTTCTATATATTTCAAGAAACCATTGTGCATTCTAAATAAATAATGCTCTGGAATGATGGCCCAGCTGTAATCTCGTGCTGTTTTTTGGAAGCGTCTGAATATTAATACCACACATGCACAAGTTTATCTTCTTCACTGAGTTGGGAGGTGTCTGTTCCACTGGAATGTGTTTTGGGCAAGCGATACCAGGTGAAAGATTTCAGTTAAAACTAAGTCAGACAAATGCTCATAGAAAATGTTAGGAACCTAAAAAATAAGTCACCAAACTGGAGTCTACACATGACATTAGATCATTTGAGTAGTCTATGAAGGTACAGGGATGCATGGCATTCAATGAAAAGAATGAGAAGAATGGGGGCAGGGTGAGTAGCAGAAAAAAGAGGCTTTCCCCCAGCTTAATAACTATCTGTAAAAAAGGTAAGTGAGGCTTCAAGTAAAGAACACACATTTGCTGCAGAGACTGAAAGGAGTAGAGAGTATCTTTTTAACAGTAGAAGATCATATATAATATACAATTGATAAATGCTAAATTTCCAATTGTCATCTTCAATACAGATGATGATATTGGGAAAGATACTTCTTCACTTTTAGATAAAGAACTTGAGGCACAGATAACTGACATGATTATTCAAATATTACACAATTAAATGAAAACTGTTAGGTGGAAATATATCCCTGGAATATTCCAGTCTGACACTCTTTCTTAAAAAAAAAAATCAAATAAAAATCGCTATTCCCCTGGAGTGTTTTAGCAGAAGTTCAGACTTTGATAGAGCTTAAGACTACATAAATGACCTTGTAACACCAGATTGCTGACCTCCAGGGAAGAATTTTTTTGATTTTGATCAAAGGCTCCAGGAAGCTGTATTTTGTGACCTATTTGTAACACTCCTGGAAATACTTAGGACTAGCTAGAGTTCACTGTACCTGTAGTTTTGAGACCCCATCTATTGTTACCACAACTTCTTTTCAAGTCTACTGCCCTCTGATCTTGTCGGTGTATAGTAAGATCTTGAATTGCAGTCAGTGTGATCAAAGCAGTATTTGAAGATCAGGGTAGGTGGTGCCTGACCTGAGTAAGAAGGACAGTCAATGGTGGCCATCTCAGATATGCCTTTTGGATTTACTAATCCTAGATGATGTAGGTTCATATGAATTTTATCACAACTGTGGGGACCATAATTATGTTCTACAGAACTACAATCTAAAAAACATTTGGACATAAACAATTGGATTAATACATAGTTTAATTTCAAATGATGTTTAATGCCTTCGAATGAATCTATGCTTATCTCTATATTTCTCTCTTCTCCTTTGAATAAAATTAGGATGGTACAGAGATAGGATTTCAGTTACTGTGTCATTCATGATTTATGAAGATGAAAACACTTGGATAGGGAATGAGGAATCCCATGTTCTGACTCAGTTTGGCAGGCAGAATTCTACAATTACCTTCAAGGTGTTCACCCTCCAATGTAGAGACCTTGTATAACTCCCTCCCCTCCAGAGTGAATGGGCCTGACATAAGCTCTTTAAAGAGAGGAGCTAGAAGTCAGGGATGGCAGAAATCAACAAACTGTCATGTTGTGGAGAGGGTCTTTTGGTTGGGAAGGGTAGGCAATCTCGAAGAGATGATAATAGTCTCCAGTTGACAGTCAGCTAAAAAAGCACTGACCACAGTTCTATAAATATAAGGGATTCAATTCTGCCAAAAATTGGTGAGCTTGGAAGAGGCCCTGAACCTCAGACGAGATTACAGCCCAGTCTAATACCTTCATTTCAGCCTTAAGAGACCTTGAGAAGAGAACCCAACCACGTTGTGCCCAAAATTTGATCTACAGAAACTCTATGATAATAAATGTGTATTGTTTTAGGCCACTGAATTTTGGGTAATTTGTCACACAGCTTTGGAAAACTAATAATCCTAGTATAGCTACTAAATAACTGAGTGACCTTGAGCAAGGTCAATACCACTTTTATCCTTTCTTTACCTCATTTTTCTCATCTACAAATTAAGATAATGTTTAAGACTCCTATCTGCTTTGATTTTAAAAATTCTATAAGATGGAACTACTTATTCATTATAAAATTGCAGCCATGGAAGAGAATAAAAAATTCTGCATGCACTTCTACCAGCAGTAAACTCACAACCTTTCTCATATTCACATCTCATGATATCCAAATGAGCTAACCATGGTGGGGTAAATACTAGATTTAATCTCTCATTTGAGTAATTGTCCCATGAGAGGCTAAGAATGAACACATCTTTCAATATATTCAACTACTCTCAACAGTCAATTCATTCAAAATAGTTATCAAGGGAATTTTGCATTGAAATCCCAGGAGATCTTTCTGTCAAATATAAATGAGGAAAGTGGTTATATTTTTATCCATTAAATTTTATTTTACAACTGGTGTGCTCTAAGATAAATTTTCTTTGTAGGACACAGATTCCATTTTTATTTTTCACTTTGGTCATTGAGTTGATTAAAAAAATAGTATCCATGTTTATGCATATCCAGTGTATTTTCAGTATAAAATGTAATGGATGCTATAAATAAATTAAGATTTATTGTTGACTTTTTCATCTATAAATCCCACTAAATATGCAAATTATGTTATTATTTTGGATACAATAATATATCAACCATAACAGGAAAAAGGCTCATTTCAGAATAAATTCAGATTTATTCCAATGACATCAGGGAACTGAATTGGGTCACTGAATAAGAACAGCTGAATTGATGGCATAAGGCTTTCAGAGATGAAAAAATATTAGCAATAGAGAAACTATGAAATTTGATAACTGCTAATCTGCTTTGATAGATATTATTACCCTGACCTGATTCAGATACATCAAATGGAAATGTTTTTCCCTCCTTCAGCATGGAATTAATTACACATTAGCCATAAGAACACATCATTGGACCTACTGCAGTTACTTAATAACTTAATAAAGTTTTCTTTAAAAATAATGACACACAAACTTTAATAATGGAAACAGCTTGAAGCAGAAATGAGAGATTCATTACCCAGTCCACCATGTATAGCTATTTGATTTGGATAAAGCAAAACTTATTTTGCCATCAGTCTCCAGAGCATGGTCTGACTCCTAGTAACATTAAAAATTCTGTTATAAATGAGCAAATATCATTTTAATTGATATACATAAAGCATTATAAACATTAAGTGACATAATTTATTCATTCATTTATTCATTCAATTAATATTCACTGAATGATGGCATTCTATATGTAGTTCACTGTGGTATATTCTTGGACAGTACACAATTGACATAAGATACATTTTTTCCTATATAGAATGTATAGGATAGTCCAGGACAGGATAGTTGGGTGAGATATGGAGAAACATCTTAATGTATCATTTTTATACATTAAGTGAATTTATTTCAATAGAAAACAATAGAAACCCCCTCTGGCTAGCTTTTATTCATGGTGGCTAATTCCAAGTTAAATTCACTTGCAGGAAGTGGGAGTTGTGAGACTCAAATTGAGATGAACAGCTGGTACTCAAAATAACATAAATCATCAAAAGAGACACAATAGATCTCACTATGAGAGGGTATGGTAATTAAGAGAAATTGTTAGTTAAGAGTTTGAAACACCGAGTAGAAAAAAATGAATATTATTAATAAATAAACAAGACTGTTATAAGGGGCAGGCAAGAAAGCCATACACAAAATAGCAAGGACTAGAAGGAAAGCAAAGATTCCAGAATAATTGGGAATTCAAGGAGACTGTTTTAAAGAAAATGTGGTCAACAGTAAACAAATTCTGCAAAAAATTACAGCAGAAAGAAGATTGGGAGATAACAATAATTTGAAAAAGAAGCAGCCCCCCAAACAAAGAGATCATGTTGTCCTCCCCAGATTAGTTTTAGAAGACCGATTGCTGATAAGATTCTAGAGAAGAGGTTAAAGTTGAAAATGAATGATTGAAAAAATGGAGTGCAAATTATGGACAACAGGTTATATTTCTTTATCCTCCTTGCCAGACATGGAAAGTGTGAATGAGTTTAAAGTCAGGGAGACCAGAAAGTGAGAGATTATGTATAACAGAGAAAAGGAAGAATAAAGGCCATGGTACATTTTTTACAAGTTGTATAAAAACAGAATTGTTGGATATAGTATGTTGGCTATTGGTTGAATTAAGAGAAATAACAAAACTAAAATGTAGCACAGTACTCAATACAGAAAAGCCATTCAATAAAGTATAACTAAGATTATTATTCTTAGTTTTTTTTTCTTATTCTAATTGTTTAATTCTTAAGCTCTCTTGTCTCACATCATTTGTTGTCATGTTGTGATCTTTAACCATTGTCCATTCTCTAAGTGGTGGCCAGGGATAACCAAAAAACCTTACATACCCACACAAACACAGAGTAATCATCCATCACCAACATAAATTGATCCATAGTCCTTCACTAATAGTCTTAAAATTGAAAAATTCAAAATTATTACTTCCAGCAGGGTAAGAAAAGACTCAACAAGTGAGATAACACCACTAAGAATCCATCTGTGGTGAATCTATAAGAATTTTGATTTTATCCAAACAACTCATCTTACCAAAAAAAACTTCTCAATTCTTTAATATTTTCCAGAATTTCCAGGAATCCTGACAAGAGATGAAAATGTAAATAATCTGGGTTACTGAAGCCTAAAACATGGTGAGTAAAACAAAACAATATAGCAAAAATCTCAGTTGATGGGGGTTGAAGGCGAGAGAAATGGGGAAATGTTGGTCAAAGGGTACATTTAGTTATAAGATGACAAGTTCTGGGCATATAATGTAGGTCTGTGGTCCCCAACCCCGAATCCACGAGTTGGCTGCCTGTTAGGCTGCAGAGCTCCGCCACCCCCACCCTAGTCCCTTGGAAAATTGTCTTCCATGAAACTTAAGAACCAGGGGGGGCTCACAGCAGGAGGCGAGGGAGGAAAGGCTTCACCTGTATTTACAGCCACTCCCTATTGCTGTCATCACCATCTGAGCTCTGCCTCCCCCTACCCTCACCCCTACCCCAATGGGTGGAAAAATTGTCTTCCATGAAACCAGTCCATGGTGCCAAAAATGTTGGGAACTGCTGATAGGGACTATAGTGAATAATACTGTATTGTATACTTAAATTTACTAAGAGAATACATATCAAGTGATTTCACCACACACAAAAATGGTAAAGTATGTGAAATGACTAATGTATTAATGAACTTGATGGTGGTAATCATTTCACAGCATATATCAAATCATCACATTGTATACCTTGAATACATACAATTTTGGTTTATCAATTATACCCCAATAAAACTATAAAAAATTAAAAATTAAAAAAAATAAAAGAATGTGTTGAAGTAATGGACCTTTGATTTACTTTGTTCAGTCTCCTGAAACCTGACTCCAATCAACTGTAAGGATTTTTTTTTTATTTTTTACAAAATTGTAAAGAATCTTAAAACTTACACTTTTCTGTTTATCATCTCCAAGTCACAAAAAAATCTGCAATTAAGATGATAGACACAATTATCCTATAATCAAAATCTAGAACTGGTAATCATTCAACACTAATGTATACCCAGCTGAATATTTTGACATGGATTTCCTAACAGATGTCTAAAACTGCAGTTATCTTCCTTTTAAAACACAAGATTTTATTATTTATTTATGATTCTTCTAGTCAGCCAGTTCTAAATTGAGATCATTTTAATTATTTATGTTTTGCTCCTTACATTCAACCAGTTGCCAAACCCAATTTTTCCACGTTTGCGATATCTCCCTGTTCACTCTGCATTTTCTCATTTCCACTAGCATGGTCCTATTTTGAGGGTCTCTGATGTCTTTTGCCAATATTGTTCAATGAACTTCTATATATCATTGGAATCCCAACCGTAAGAGAAAGTAAATTCTTCCTGGATGTAAAGTTTGGCAACATTAGTATTTAACTTACTCTGTTCTTCTCATTTTATAATCTCAGAAGTTCCAACTGACAATTAATGACACCGAAATTCTACAGGCACAGAACTTATCAACGTTTTCCATATCATCTATTCAGCTTTCTCAAATTACCCATTCAATTTGTTTTCCTGCTGAAATATCATATTGTTAACATATAACCAAAAGGAATTGTTGATGAAGCTATAATAAGTGGGACTTAATGGAGAATATTTTATTGCAACCATTTAACATAAGTATTTTTGTACCATTTTCGAACTGACCTATTCTTCATAAAGAATGAATAACTCATGAAAAGTTTGTACAAAGCTGTTATGTTCCATGTGAGTTAAATATTACAATAGAACAATATAATCTCATTGTCATATCAAATGTTTTCATCACCCTGAGACTCCCTAAGTTTGTCTATATTTATAAATGAGCATTTTCTTTCTCAAAGAAAAAAAATCAAAATAAATGTAGTTATTAATTGGGTTTTTAATTTTTCATTCAAGATTCAAATATTATGCAAAAAATTTATAAATGTTTCTAAAACCAGAAGTATTTCATAATGGTAAAAGTTCAGTTTATTGAGAACATATCACAGTCTTAAACATATCAAGAATATATCACAGTCTTTCTAACATACATCAAAGAAAAACTATTGGAAAAAATAAAAAGAAATTTTTAAAATCTCTAACTATTGCTAGTGATCATAACCCTCTTTCTCAGTAACTGATAGAACAAGAAGACACAAATATCAATTAGAGTTTAGATCATTTGAACAAAATTATCTACCTGTTTGACCTGTTTGATTTTTATCAAATAATTCATTCAAAATACTGTCAAAGGATCAATTTTCTCTAAACTAATGTATGGGCTCATTCCAACTCCAATCAAAATTTCCGAAGATTTTTATGGACCAAAGTGACAAGGTTATACTAAAATTTATATGAAAATGCCAAAAGCCCATGATAGTCAAGACATTTTTTTAAAAAACTAATGACAATGTTGAATGACTTCCGCTATTTTCTCTCAAGGCTTACTGTAAATCTGTAGTCATCAATCCAGTGTAATACTGGCATAATGTTAGACAATTAGATCAATCAAACAGGATCAAGAGTCCAGATAGCACCATCTACATAAATTTAATTGATTTGAAATAAATTTTTCATGTGAAAAGTATGGTATTTTAAACAAAAGTGGAATAAGTGAATATATAGATGAAAAGTAATGAATCTACTTTACTTGTCAAATAAGTTATTTTAAGATTAATCATAAACCTATATATCAAAGTGAGAACTATAGTTTTTAGAAGAAATATAAAAGATTATCATTGTGACCATTGAAGAAGCCAAGTTTTCTTATAGAATATATCAAAACAGTTACTGTAAAAGAAAAGCAATAAATAATAAAATAGACTAGAATAAATTGGACCCCAAATTAAAATTCATTCTCTTAAAGTGACACTTATGGAAATGCATAAATAATCCACAAACTGGAAAATATATGTAGGTACATAGATAGATTTTAAGTACATGATTCAAGAATATATTTAAAATATTTTCCAATTCAATAATGAAATCCAATAATGAAAAAAAGCACACTGTGGAGCTAGGTGCAGCCATCTGACCAAGTTCTGGCCAATAGATATTAGCAGAGCAATTTTGTGGCAGTTCTGGGAACCTTCTTGAAATGGTACTTAGGAAAAATGCCTTTATCCATCATTCCACCATCCTCTTGTCCAGGATGCACTATCAGAAATGCCTCCCTGGATCCTGAGGAGGACAGCAATTTCCTAGAAATGGAATCATGGTGAGCTAGAAGTAGCCAGAGCCCCAGGTGCCCTCAGTGAATAGAACCACTTCGCCAGTCCTGGACTGTACATTTGTCAAGTCTTTATGGACAATGGAAAAGAAAAACAAAGTTTCAATTTTGTTTAAGTCTCTATTGATTCTGTGTTTTTCTGTTATCAAACCAAATCTTAAGAAATTTCCAGCTTCTATAACATTTTGCAAATATGAGTGGTAACAATAGAATCTTCTTACTTTGTGTTTACTGACTATTGGTAACATTAAAAACATTTCTGTGTGTTTTAGTCCATTTATATCACTAATGTCAATGATAAGTTTTTATATTTTGCTCATTTTTGTCACTTATTTGTCTGCTCGTTTATTTTTTAGAAGTTCTTTATATTTCAAAATATTAACACTGTGGTTTTCTATTTTGAGTATTTTTGCCCAAAATGCATCTGTCTTCTTTCTTAGATGTTTATTTTATGTTGTTTAAATTTTTTTTCATTTTAATCAAATCAGTACTGTTTTACTTTTCCCTTTTAAGGTTTCAGGCTTTGGTGTTGAGATAGTCTTTGAATGAAGAGTTATGGCTGAGTAGAAAACGGTAAGAATGGAAAGTCCGACAGTAGCTCCCCTGTCTTTTATTTGTTTGTTTCTTTTCTAATCAGGCTTCTAATTTGGATCTCCTTATGTGATGCATGATGTTGAGATATTTTAGCTTTTCTGGCAAGGCTGAGGACTCTAAACACTATAAAAATCTCTCTTTTATATAAAAAATTCTATAATCAACATTATACTATGCTTCATTTACTACAATATGTCATGCAGAGAATGCTCCAAGTGTCCAGAACTTACTGGCTGTATCCTGAAAGTTCTCCCTATGTTTGGTATAGCAGTACATATTAAGCGATGAAAAAGCAAGTGCTCAAAAGAAATGAGCAACATTTTCACAACCTTCCTAAAGTTCCTTCTGTTTTAAAAATAAAGACAAGATCTGTGAGTTCTGAAAATATTGATATTTTATAAGAAACCTGAAGCAGCAACTGGGGATTAATGTATGATTGTAGATTGAGTTGTAGATGTAGATTGAGTTGGGGTATCAGAAGACCTAATTAGAAGGCCCTAGGAAGTTCTCATAAGATTTCATGTAAGTATTTAAGAGTCTGCCTTAAAACATTAATCTTCATTAAAAGCCAAATGCCCTGGTTTCTTTCCTGTGTTATTGGAATCCCACTATCAATGATATTTAATGTTAACTTCTTCCTTCTAAGTCTATATCCTACTTTTTTCCCCTTCTCATTTGTATCTTCATTGTCTCCATTGCTGATCTCATCCAGTTGCCCCAATATGCTGATGATATACATCTTTCTTTTGGCATCCTTGGATTCCCTTGTGACCTCCAGACTCACATGCTCAATTGCCTCAATGCCATCTCCTCTTAACTTTTTAGTATTTCAAACAGCCTGGCCCAAATGATAGTGATTTGCTTGCCCGAAGCCTCCTCATCATGAGTCTCCCTATTATCATCATAAGGACAGTTTCACTATCTATCTAATTATTCAGAACAAATCCTAGGAGTTATCTTTGTCCTCTTTCTGATACAGCCATATAAAAATCCACCAATAAGTCTTGTCTATTCTAACTCCAAAACAAATTTCAAATTTTATCTCTTCTCACTTTTCCACTGCTAAAACTATAGTTAGGCCACCATCATGTCTTGTCTAGATTAATACAATGGCCTCCGAACTCAACTCTGTTTCCATACTTGTCTCTCATAATTTGATCACTACGTAATAGAGTAATATTTAAAATGCATCAGTCAGAGCATACTCATCCTCTGCTTACAATGCTGGAAGTACTTATGATAGAT